AAATAATTTTGAAAAAGTGGCATTTTTGTAAAGATTTCAAAAATGTGGCATTTTTGTAAAATGACACTTGAAAAGTGGTATTTTTTGAAATTTCTCTATTACATATTGGTGCGAACCTTTTATGTTATTTCTTTTGTACTTTAGTATCTAAAAACATGGAAATGATTGAAGGTTGATTTTTTAGACAAAAAAAAGGAGATAATAGCTTGATTTTAAATTCCAAAATATAGTAAAGCAACAACAGTTATTGGATTTTCTATTATATTAATAGTTGGCCAATGAGTTGAGTTTTGACTTTATCTGTCTTCTGATTTGTTTGGTCGTGACTGCCGTCTCTTTTTTTAGAATCCTTGTTGCTGCTGTTGAGTCCAATTGAAGGTTTCCTGCGAGATGTGAAAGTTAGTTAAATTGATATATTTACTTGTTTCTGCGGTTATTAATACTTTAATTTGTCTTTCTAGTTTAGAGTTTACCTTGACGAATCTTGGGATTGATGCTTGTGATCAAGATGGTAAACCGTTGTAGTTTCTCAATCCCGAAATCTTTTCGAAAACTCGCAGCTACATTATCCCACAACGCTACTCGTACTACCGATTTCCTAAATCATTTTATGAATGGGAGTTCTCTTAATACCAGTAAAAGTTCTTGTTTAATGTTTTATTTAGTTTCGTACATACCTTTGCATACGAAGACGGAGCACTATTGGTCGTGTTGAGTTTGGATCATTTAGCTCTATACCTTCAACGAAGCGAATTTGACCAACGATATCTGTAGAAGTGGAAGGGAGGTAGTATTAGTTTTTATATTAAACAATGAAATGGTAATTAGTAAAAGGGAAAATGAATACCAGGAAGCTCTTTGTTTGTGTTTGCTAAACTTTTTAGATCGTTGTAATTGCGCATCGTGTACTTGTGCATTGGTATCTTAGGGACGTTTCCCACTATTTGGGAGATCATTGTTTTGTTGGTAAAACTGATGGAGAAGGGAGTATGCGTTAGCTTGTATTTGTTGTTTGAGTGCGTCACATAAAACCTGTTTATTGAGTAGATGAGACCGTCTTGTATTATATTTTTGTATAGACTGGTGCGTCTTACATTGATAAAACAATTGATTACATCAACCTGCAAATAATGGTTTTAAAATAGAAGTCAAGATATATGTAATGAATATTTAGTCCGAAATAATAAAAGAGAATGTTAGTAAGATTGTTCGATATATAAAGTATTGTTTATTACCTTCTCGTCTAATAGTAAGAATGTTAGTCCAATGATTTCACCATTCTTCCAAATATTTTGTGTCTCCCACAAACGTAGAATGCGGCCAACAATGGGATAAGTGGAGAAACCCACTCGTAATTGATTTAAGGTCTTGTAAAATGGGATATCGTTGATGTCAACCATATCTGCGGCGCAAAACGTTATTAGTTGTGGATTTCGTAATTGTTGTGGGTTAGTCTATCAACACATGTATAAATGGAGAGATGTAAGTAAAGTGTTATAGAATTGACACAATTATCAGACGTGTATTTGGTTAACCTGAGCGTGGAGTGTAAGCATCTGAAGTGGATGAGTAAGCAGGCAATGTTGGTTTCTCCTTGCTTTCCCCCAAAAACAGTTTCCTTCTCACCTTATTTGTTATGCAGACCAATGTTCCTGCAAGCGTATGACGGTAGTTTAGGAAGGGAAATAGTTTGTGGCCAACATAAAGAGTTATCTTATATGCGGTAAACTAAAGTAATGAAATTGGCTTTTTTGATAAACCTAATTGTATCTACTTTTTAGAGATACAAACCTGGATTTTCTTTCCTTGGTCGCCGGTTATATTCGGGTGTGTATGTTTGTGGTTTTGAAAAAATAGTGTTCATTATAATTTAGAAGTGGTGAAGAATTCTCTTAGTAGGTGTAGAACTCTCTGGGAAAATAATCTAGAAGTGGTGAAGAATTCTCTTATGCGTAGGTGTAGAATTCTCTTGTGGTATATATGTAGGTGATATGTAGTTAGGTTTTTGGGAAAATAATTTCAAATTTGAAAGTTTACAGTCGTTTCAATTTGTAGTTAAGTGCATTGAAATATGTTTGTCACTTAAAATGGAATCCAATTGTCATTTA